TGCCACCTCAGAGATGCAGCCTCCAGGGACAGACAGAAGTGAAAACTGATTGTGCCACAGTGCACACTCCCTGACAATTTGTGGGGACAGGTTGGAAAGGGGGAGAGATGAACCCTATACAGATGTGCAAGGGGTCACTTTACTGCCCCTGATCTCACCCTGTACTGCTTCCATTTTACTTCCTTTTGGGTACAACATTGCCCTTTGAGTCTGCAGCTGGGGAAACACACGTTTCTGATGTCTGTGTCTGCAAAGGGCAGAGAGTAGGACAGCAGCCGCACGCTGAATCGAAATTTAATTGCAGGTAAATCATATGGGAGCGGGTGACTACTGCAGCTTCGCTGAACTGGAGCCTCGCCGGGCTCCTGCCAAGACGCAAGGGCAGAGCAAAGATACGGAGTGAGGAGGTAGCGATCGCACCCGTCGCCGCGGTCCCGGTGGGATGCGCGGTGAGGGGATGCGCGGCTGAGGGGATGTGCGCGGGGACAGAGCCCTGAGAGCGGCGGGAAAGGGACGGTCCCACCGCTCCGAGAGCACCGACAGGCGGGACCCGCACCTGCCCGGGCGGGGCAAGCAGCGAGGGGCGGACCGGGAGCGCAGGACCCGGCGGGGTGGGTGAGCCCTCCCGCGCCGGGGGCTCGGGAAGAAAGTTTAAATGCCGGTGCCGGCGCGGGTGGAGCGGCCTCCCGGGGGTCGCGGGGCCGCCCCACGTCTCGTGTGACGCGCGGCGAGCGCCCGCCCGCCCCGGGCCGGGGGGAGCGACAGTGCCCGGGAGAGGCGGAGCGGGGCCGCCCGTCCCTCCCCGCCCCCGGCCCCGCACCTGCCCGGGCGCGCAGCGGCGCGGGGACCGCGCGGGGCCGGGCCGCGCAGCGCCGGGCGGGGATGCGCATCCCTTGGCGGCAGGATGCCGGAGGGGAGCGCGGGCGGCCGCGGCGCGGAGAACCGGACGGGCGCCGAGGCCCCGCAGCACCTGTTCCCCGTGCCCGTGCTCACCGGCATCACCGTCGCCTGCGTCCTGCTCTTCGTCATCGGGATCATCGGCAACCTCATGACCATGCTGGTGGTGTCGCGGTTCCGGGACATGAGGACCACCACCAACTTCTACCTGTCCAGCATGGCCTTCTCCGACCTGCTCATCTTCCTCTGCATGCCCCTGGACCTCTTCCGCCTCTGGCAGTACCGGCCCTGGAACTTCGGGGACCTCCTCTGCAAGCTGTTCCAGTTCATCAGCGAGAGCTGCACCTACTCCACCATCCTCAACATCACGGCGCTCAGCGTGGAGCGGTACGTTGCCATCTGCTTCCCCCTCCGAGCTAAAGTCATCATCACCAAGGGGAAGGTCAAGCTGGTCATCCTCTTCCTCTGGGCCGTCTCCTTCATCAGCGCCGGACCCATCTTCATCCTGGTGGGGGTCGAGCACGAGAACGGCACGAACCCCCTGAGCACCAACGAGTGCCGAGCCACCGAGTACGCCATCCGCTCGGGGCTCCTCACCATCATGGTCTGGACCTCCAGCATCTTCTTTTTCCTGCCCGTGTTCTGCCTGACCGTGCTGTACAGCCTCATCGGGAGGAAGCTCTGGAGGAGGAAGAGAAAGAACATCGGTCTAAACACCGTCATCAGGGATAAGAACAACAAGCAAACTGTGAAAATGTTAGGTACGAGTCTCCTTGCTCTGTTTTTCCAAAGGATGCGTGTGCTTCTGTGTGTGTGTGTGAGAGAGACAGAAAGACTGAGAGCTCTCTGGTAGTTTACTATAGTTGCTTCCAAAGGAAAGCATTTATTAAAAATCTTCCACGCAAAGGGACAAACCTCCAGGAATCTGTAGAGTAACTCTCCTTCCCCCTTAGATTTATTCCTAACTGGTTTGAGCTGGGGACTCCCAAACAGTTAAACAAACGTTAATAACAATCCCTGACAAGGACAAATACTGCAGTTATAATTAGATAGTGCCCTGGAGATTTTTGAGAATTTTTGCTCTTTGGTTGTGGATACCGATGTTATTTACAGAAGAACAGTTTATTTGATTTTTAAACAGAACTAAACCCTTCTGAAGCCATGAAGTTGAGCTGCAGACTAAGTAGGCAGGGCACGATATGCACTTTGTGCAGATTTGTATGAAAAGAGTATCAAGGTTTTAGCAAATTGGAATTATTTCCTACCACGGCTGTATAAGCTTATGAAAATTAATCTGAATTTTTACATTAGCCAAACACCAGGATGTGCTGAACCCAGAGCCTTGTGCCTCCTTTGAGGTCTGTAGTGCTGTAAAATCTCCCTGACTGTAAGAAAACAGGATCAAGACAACAGACAGTGTTATGCCTAACTTAGTAAACTGACATTGCTGAACGCTTTAAACAACAGTTCTGACTGGCACGTGGAAACATGAATTTTAACATCTTAAGTCAGTGCATGGGGTGGGAGTTTGATGAACAAAACCAAAAAGTTGTTCTGCAGTTCGGTGTCTGAAAACTGCAGAATCCTGCTGCTGCTGCTGCTGCGTACTTTTAAAGCCAAAAGTCCTCCGCAGTGCAAGTCATCCCGTGGATTTCAGGGGGGATGTGATGCTCTGCAGGAAGAAGGTTTCATGGGCAGCAGCTCTGCTATGCTCCTTCCAGTGGGGTTGAAGTGGTGGGCTAATGAGCCAGACAAGAGGTGGCAGTGAGTCCTAAGGACTTTAATTGTCAAACGGGAGCCTAACTGATTTTTTGTTCACGTCCTAATTTATAACCATGCAACTGCAGGAAGAATAATAAAACCCACAGCATTCTTTGTGCCCTTTCAGCTGCGTTTTATGATCAATAGAATTACCTCAGTTTGCTAAACGTGACCTTGGAAGTAATTAATCATTTACACTTCTGAGGTTCAGGATTATGAATCTCCACTTACCATAAGTAAATTACATATATTACTACCATGTTTATATTTCCATAAAGATCTTGAAATACTTACAACTCTTTATTCCTACCCTGAAGTATTGCCACAAGCATTGCAATGTTTCAGTCACCTTTTTTTTCCTTTTACAAGGTCTGAGAACAGCAAGCAGTGGCAAGACTATGACAGAGAGCCAGTATTCCCTAAATGATAACAGTCTGATGCCTGATGGAAAGGTGGAAAGAAGTTAGTGAGGGTTCAGTATCAGCAGATGCTCACTGCAGTCTAATCTCATCGGTGTTAATGTTCTGTTTAAAATTTAGAAGGTACTTTCTAAGCCTTTAGCAAGTCATGGAACATCAGGTAAATGGGATTAGCATCAACACTTCTCTTTAACTGTAGAGAAAGGTTATGCTTGTGGGTCTGCAATTAAACACCTAAATGTATAGCCCAGCTTGCAAAGGAGCTATCATATCCCATTCCTATTGAAATCCATGGGATTCTTTCTGCATGAATGAAGATCAAACTGTGAAAGCCTGACTAGGCATATGGCAAGCCTTCATGTGCTTAGAATTCCACTCAGACTGAGCTTAACACACTGTTCATAACGACCATCACGGTGACATTCATTTCATGGATTCATGAGAACGCAAGGCCAGGCTGGACAGGGCTTGGAGCAACCTGGTCCAGTGGAAGGTGTCCCTGCCCATGGCAAGGGGTTGGAATGAGATGATCTTTAAGGTCCCTTCCAGCCCAAACCATTCTGTGACTCTATGAACAGGTTAACTGTAAAAACTGCCCAAGAATGTCAGAAACCCTTGCCTGAGTTTTCTGGTTTTTCTCTCTTTAGTGTATTAATAGATACACTCAAAGAAATATGAAAAATTTTAAAGGTCAAAGGCACACAGGAAATGAACAGAAAAAGTTTCCCTTTCTCTTGGATGAAAATTCAAATGGGCCACTGTTCAGAGATATACACACATTCCTGTCACTCTACAGACATGACATTTACATGTAAATGCAACCACAGTGGTAGTGTAATATTACAGATACACTGTATAACTATAAATATGCAGTTATACACTATATATTTAGTTTTACTCTTCTCAGGACTAAGTCATGTTCTAAAAAATGGACAAACTGGAGGGGTGCACCACTCTCTTGTTCTTACCTTGGCACATGTGCTCTACAAGTCCACATTCTGGTGTTTTGTTTTATTTTGGGGCCTTTGGCATAAATAATTTTGCTTTGCCTAAATAATTTTGCATCCCAGTGATTATATTCTTCACTATAAGCCACAGTGTTGAGTCTACCACATATCATTTGCTTTTGTTAAACACTGTGGACAATAGATTGTTATGCTTTTTTTTTTTTGGTCGCTATTTGGATTCTTTAATTCTCTGTTGATACAAACATAAGTATTACAGGTCAGAAGCTTGCTACATCAGATTAGCTGGGCAACATTCAGGAAGCCTGCTTAGGTATGATCAATGTGTATTAAGTATCACTAATTTATAATCTCAGGGAATATATTGAGAGACACACAACTAAAAGCTTAGGGGATGTATTTTCACACTTTATGACTAATTTGCTAAAGGAATAGAACTTTAAAGGAGAATGTTAACCACCTGTTTGTTAATACTCACACTTAACACAATTTCTTCTGCTGTTTTTATTTTAGTTGTGGTGGTATTTGCTTTCATACTCTGCTGGTTGCCTTTTCACGTAGGACGATATTTATTTTCCAAATCCTTCGAAGCTGGATCCTGGGAGATAACAGTGATCAGCCAGTACTGCAACCTGGTGTCCTTTGTCCTCTTCTACCTTAGTGCAGCCATCAATCCCATCCTCTACAACATCATGTCCAAGAAGTACCGTGTGGCCGCCTGCCGCCTGTTCGGACTCAAACCCCTCCCAAGGAAAAGACTCTCCAGCACAAAGCAGGAAAGTTCTCGTGTGTGGACAGAGTCGAGTGTCATCACATGACACGTGGTTTCCAGAGCTGGTGCATCACTAGCTGCATTTCCCAGAAAGCCATAACCAGAAGGGAAACAGGGCAAGAAACGGGAACCGGAGCGTTAAAGCCGTGCTTTTGTCATCGTCTGGACCTGCTGAAAGATGGAACGCAAAGATTCAAGGACACAACAGACTGAACTCCGAGACTATAAAAGGAGATAAACGGTCACAGAATTTGGAAACATTCAAGTATTATTTGTCTGCTGCTTTTGCCCACATGAATTTTTACTGCTGAGTTTAGCCCAGATCCAGGCTGTGCCCTCCTGACCGAATGTGGCCCACTTCACTCGAGAGCTTGTACGACTTCAGTAGCAGCCAATTCGAGCTGAATGTTTCCAGAGTTAGCTTTAGTTTTGCCAAGAATTTTGCTACCATATAACCAGGCCCTAGAGAGAGAAAACGGAATTGCCTTTTTGGAGTAGTAAACATGAAATTTGATACACTTTTCATAATCTTGATTTTTAAATAAGCTCACATTTTTCTCAGAAGGAGAAAAATGATTTCTTAAAAAAAAAAAAAAAAGAAAAAAGAAAAAAGAAAAAAGGAGAGGTAAAATGGGTAATTTTAAAACATGCTAAAAATAAATGACTTTCACGTCACGTCCAAGTAGAAAGGAAACAAAAAAATGCCTTCACAGAAGTGGCTTACAACATGAATGTACTGAAATATTTTTTTAAAATATATGTCAGTGGGACAAGGACAGGGCTGATTTCGAGACTGCAGTGATGCTATAAAAATGTGGAAAGCAATCTCCCACCAAAGTCTTTTTTTTTTTTTTTTTTAATATATACTAGCTAAATCACCTGTACGTGTTTTGTTCCGTTTGACTGTGAATGACACGATGTGTTTGAACTTGGAAGCTTTTAGTTGTTTTGGTGTTTGTAATGAGTTTGTGGCTACCTGTCCCTAACTGTGCCCCTCCATACCCTGAGGACAGATCTCCTGCTTGTAAACTCCTCCCCCATTTCTGTTTGAAGTCTATCAGCCAGTTCCCAGTCCCAAATCCCCCCATAAAGCCCAGTGTGCAGTTGTACTTGTTTACTGAAGTATTAAATTGAGAACATTTTACATTTTTTAACCAACGTGACCTGAGAAAATAATAGAAAAACCTGCATTAAAAGACACAGGCAGACACATTCTCATACTTGATTCATAAAAACCTTAAATTAGATTTAAGTATGCCATTTCAAGGCAAACCAGAAAACGTTCCATCCTCTGTGCTAATAAATATGCCTTATGCTGTCTCACCCACACGTGGATTTTGTGGTCCAGCTCATAGAGCTTCAGAGCATGCATGTGTGATAGCAGCTTTCTGTTCACTTGGTTCCAGTATTCATCACCAGCTGGTCCACAACCAATTCCCCATAATGAATTTTCTGTTAGCAGAAGCTTTCCTGCCTTCAAACCCTCGTTCACACCGGGCCGCTTTCCACCTGTTACACCTTTAGCTGACGGTGCTGCTCAGGTAAAACTCACAAGAGAATTTGGCCTCCTCTGTGTATACCACGTCTTTTCCTAGTACCTGGCGCTTTGCTGGGCTCAGGGGCTGGTTGCTGCTCCTCGGTGGCACCTGAGCCTGTGTCCTCCCCATCCCAGCACTCACAGGAGTGCAGGTTTGATGTACACACACTGTACATCAAGGTACTGCAGAGCTACGGGATCATCTCCCGCTTCCCCTCTAAACACATCCTCCTCACTGCCCATTTTGTTCTCTCACTCGTTGACTGACAAGCAGATCTGATGGCAGATGTCACGCAACTCAGGGAAACAAGACACTGGGGAATCTCAAAAGGACTGTGAAGATGTGAGCTCACTAATGGCCCGTCTGTGTAAATGAACCCATCACACGTACCCGGCATCACATCAGCGTTTTGAGTCTCAGCTGTGTCCGTGGTATTAAATGTGAACAGAAAAAGAAATAAAGCGATGAGACCCTTTATAACCTTACTGGCTCAGTGTTGGTGGAGGATTTGGCGTGATTCCCACAGGCTGGAGGAGCTGGTCTCTGTTGGGTTGGCTCAGCACTGCCACGCACTCTCCTCGTCCCTGGGAGTCCCGTGTAATCACATTTAATTTCTCCATATAAACTACAAACACACAAATAACTTCATTTAGACTGAACGCTTCATCAGGAGAGGCTGTAAATTTTAGCTATATACTGAAACAATGTGAATTTCCCACAGCTTTGTGTATAGAATGAAATTTAAACATTTAACCTGGGGTCACAGGAAACAGAAAGACAGGGACTGTCTGCTTCTTGGGAGGGAGGATAGGACGTCTTCCTTCCTTCTCACTGAGGAAATAGACTTGTTTCTGCAAGTTATTGAACATTTTGGCCAAATCTAGCAAAATATATGCATTTTTATTAAAGAAGAGTAGCCACTTTCATATGATTCTTGCACAACCAGGAAAATATTTCATATCTAGGAGGGAACACTTAAACATTTAACAAACCCTGTAGCTGTCACAGGCAAGACACCAGCCATTAGTTTTACTTCCCTCAGTACTATAACTTTTCTATATAGACATGCTAAAGCCAGTGGAGTCACATGCACGTGCTGACTGCAGGTGGTAAATAGAGACCACTGCTTCAAACTGGTACCAGTGCATAATTAACTGCTTTTATATGGAAAGCAAGGGGGAAAAAAGAACCCAAAACCTGGATAACCTTCACTTTTGCACCATAAAAACCACTCTTGCCTGATGCCTCCAGAAAGGTACACACGTCCCCACCAGCACTGATGGATGAATCCAGCACTGCTGGTCTTCAGGGTTATTCATAGAATCACAGAACAGTTTGGGTTAAAAGGAACCTTAAAGGCTTTCTAGTTCCAATCCCCTGCCATGGGCAGATTGCCACCCACTAGATCAGGTTGCTCAGGGCCCCATCCAACCTCGCCTTGCCCAAGTTGCAAGAAATAACTTCACTGGAAAAAAAGAAAAAAAAGTGTGAGCAGGATTTCAAGAGTATTTTTTACTGAAGAACAGCAAAGTCAGTCCAAGGTAGGTGCCATCAATCTGTCTCAGGTAGTAACATGGGACAAGGTTCCTCCTGCCTTGTCTCTGGCAGTTTGTACAGGGGCAGAGGGGATGCTGCAGGCAGAGAGGGCAGTGGCAAACAACCTGTGCTGGCAAAGCAGTGCTGGCACTGGTCTCGTCTGTTCTCACCCACCACAGTTCTCAGCATGGACTGGCAAACACTTCTGAGCAGAAAAAAAGTTTTTTTCCCTGCTTCCTGGGATATTTCCACAGTAGCTCATGTTCCTGGCATCTTCTCCCCAAAGCCTTCCCTACATGAAAGAGCACAGGTGTGGCCCCCATCCTATTTAGGGTCTGGATGTGGTTTTTGAGATCCATTTTTCATGTAGGGAAGGCAAGAGCCCTTGCAGGAACTGGGCTGTTCATTAATGAGGCAGACAGGGTAGCTCTGCAGGAAGAGTTCTTTCAGAATCTTCAACCTTCCAATTCTGGAAACTCTTCTCTGTTGGAACAAACCTTGCCAGTTTTGACTGAAAAAAAAAATAAAAACCATATAGAGACTTTAAGACTAAAAGTTTTGCTGTGCTCTTACTGACTTGTATGTCAGAAGCCCATAGAGGAAATGACTGGAAGTTCATTCATCAAACAGTTCCAATTTTAAAAGCTTTTCTACCTCTACATTTTGTATCACAGCTTCACAAATAAACAAGAACACTTTGGCTGCATTTTATTTCTTGGCAGTGTGTTAAATTGGCGATGAAATAGGTCAGAAGGACTTTACCAGAAGGCTTCATTCATTTTAGAAAAGTACCTTTGATGGAGGCACGCTCAGACAGAAAATCGTGTCCTATTGTATTCTTGCCAAAAATAAAATATACCGGGAAAATAGCACCTACATGTCAAAATGTGAGATGATAGATATTCAGCAGTTCTGTAAGTTTGTGTCAAGTGACATCTGCATAAGCCATATTTAAAGCAGCAGTTCTTAGATAACTAAATACCCAGGAGAACCCCCTCTCTGTTATGGATTCTGCTGTTTTTGGGGTGTTGCTCCTCTAAGCCCAGCCAGTGTTTCCAGATGGGCTTCCATAAGTTTGTATCCTTTGCAAAAACCCTGTGGCCTTGAAGAAGGTAAACTGCATCTTGAGAAAAAAATTCAAATTTGGAACAAAAGAAATCCATCTAACTCATCTCCCAGAGATGCCCACGTTTCTCTCCCACAACCTGAACCATCCTCCTCCCACTGCAGCTGAAAGCCCAATAAGTGATTTCATTCTCACAACTCCTAATAAACAATACCAGTCAAATTTTACAAATTTTTAAACATTATTTGGGAAATAAGTAACCTCTGGCTGACGCTGCAGCCTGTGGAAAGCTCAACCAGTGGGAGCTGAACACAGGAAACACAGGCTCTGCTTCCAGAGTCCTGCTTTGCATCCCTGCACTCCCTAACAACGAGAGAGCATGTGCCAGCAGCCAAGACAACACCTACACCTGCAGTGGGATTTGTATCTGCTCATGAATCCTGACAACAGCCCATGGGCCTGTGCACACACAGGAGCTTCCTCAAAAATCCTCCAGGTGATGCAGATGGACGTACATCCATAGATGCAGTCGCAGGAGTTGGTATGTCCTGGGCACTTCACAGGTTTACACTATTTGCTGTCAGGCACGTGTTGATGGAGTTACACACCGCCCAGCAGAACTCCAGCAGCACTTGGAGAGCTGGAAGTTTGCAGGGCACTGATGTGAATTGTCTCTGCTCGTTTAGGCAGGTCCATCATCCATCTAGGGCAGTGGTACACCCCTCTCCACCCCTCCCATCCCAGCCAACTCCTCCCACCTGTGCATTCCCAGCTGATGTACCACAGCAGACTCCTTCCCAGCCCCACACACAAACCAGGAACTTCACAGGAGCAAAATAATTTCCTCACACAGACATGCTCGCCAATGGCTTTTCACCATGAAACATGATTTCTGGAGTGAGACAGGTAAAACCTGCAGGGGTTTAGCTTTGTGCCCCATGTCCCTGGCCAAACTTTTGCCCAAAGCAGTTTGTTAAATGGTGGGGTCCCACTGTGCCAGCTCTATTAGATCATAAAACCAGTTTCCAGAGCCTTGGCTGCTGCTGTTTATGAAAAAAACCAAAACAAACAAACAAACAAAAAAACCAACCAGAAAAGCAAATGTTAGATCAGGGTTTGTCTCTCACCTCTGAATTGTGATTATGTGAGTACAGCAGAAGAGGATGAAGAAAAGGACAAGTGCCAAGCTCTCACACTGCTGGCTGGGTGCAGGCTCGAGGGGCAAACACATGGTGAGCAGAGGACCATAAGCATTGGGTGGTATCCCAGAAAACCATGGGATGGGACATGGACAACACTCAGAATCTCTAGTCTTCCCTAAGGATTCAGGCATTCATGGACAAGTCCCTGCATCCTTCACACATGAGGCTGACTCCAAACAGACATCGATGGTGGACCGGTGCCTGGCTCCCAGGACTGCTCCTCACGAGGAGGGTACCAGCTCCTAAATCAGCACCTAAACCTCGTACTGCCCTGCGGCCAATCTCTGGGCTCTTGTTCTGTGCACAAATACACCCTACTACAGAGAGCTACAGGGTGCTCCTCTAGTTGTACTTGGAGATAAACCACTCTGTGTTTTGCCAAAGGAAAGCATTTCACGGCTCCCCACGCCCGCTGTGATTCTTTCACCGGGAGCAAAATGAAGCTTCGGTGACGTGCGTGAGCCCGTAAGGCAAAATCGCTCTCAGAAATAAAGCACCCCACTCTCACCTTCAGGGGCTGCTCTGGGGGCTCAGGAGATGCTCTCCCAGCAATTGCCCCCACTTGAATGCTGCTGCATCAAAAGAGAGGAGCCTCTTTGCTCCCTTTGCTTTTGCCTCATGTTCTGATTGATTTTCACATGATTGCGGTGCTGTCCACGAGCAAAAAGGCATGGCTATTTCCAAGCCTTTATCCTCATTGTTCTTCCCTGCACAGCCTCCTTCCACTAATAACCCGGTGCTGCAAATCATCCCTCATTAGGGCAGGCAGGCAGGGACTCTTAACACCACGAGCCTGTTCTGCAATGAGGCTGCAGCACGACGAGCACTGGGGTGCAGGGATTTAAATAGCTTTAACACAGCAGCACGACAAAAAAGACAGCAAAAACTCACACTACCAGTTCTCACTGAAGTTAAGCCAATATTCATGATCACACTCAGGCAGGCACCCTGCCCAGCAGATAGCACCTGGGGTGACAC